ATTTTGTGATAAATCTTACAGAATTCAAATATAATTTATTCAAATAATTAGAGCAACGATATTAAAACTTAAATTATTAATTAAATTTGTTAATTTTATTATAGGCATTGGATTAATGGTGAACTAATTAAACATTAAAATTTAGTATTAATTCAAAAATTATAATACAATTACATAATTAGATCAAATTCTTATACCATATCCATCGGGCAAATAGGCCACTCGCAGCCTGTTAGTTTACAGGACTTAGGGGTGTAAGTTGGACGGACTAGTCTGATTTTAATCCGAGCCCAATCAAAAAATATTAGGGTTTGAGTTAGAATTTTTAATATTTGGATTGAGTTTAAGTTAAAAAATTATAACCCAAATTTAATTTGGGCGGGCCTTAGTTGAACTCGAATATTCATAACCATATAAACATATTTTTAAGTTTAGAGTTAATCTATTCTGAAGTTTTCATTGTGCGCCTCCCTCACTCACTATTTAAGCAATGAAGTTTGTACAAGGACTTTGTTTGTATTTATTTATATTCTGCATAGTTGTGGTTGTATTATCTAAAATATTAAATTCTTAATATTGATTTTTATGTTAAAAATTTGATTAAAATTGTTAGTTGTTAATTTAGGTAAATATTATATAATATATGTATTAAGTTTAAAATAATAAATTTATTTGAGCTCAACCCGTAAATTAATTTGAAATTATTAATCCGAATTCAATNTTATATAATATATGTATTAAGTTTAAAATAATAAATTTATTTGAGCTCAACCAGTAAATTAATTTAAAATTATTAATCTCAATTCAACTTAAGATGACCCGAATTAAACTCGAGAGCAATGGTTGACTTGAGTCTCTCGACCAAAAATAGAGTTAAAGTTAAAATTGAATATTATATCCTTTGTTGAGCTTGTTCAACCCGCCCCGTGTTGCACCCTAACCGGACTGTGGGGATTGTCTTGTGGATCGGAGCTTCGTCGGACATCAAATATGGTATCCACAGCACAGCACGAGAGAAGAAACGTGAACGCCAAACCTTGAGGATTCGTACAATGTAATTTGCGAAAAATGAACAGGGAAATAGCAGTCTGGTAGACGCCGTTGGAAGCAATCGGAGATTGATTTGTGTGAGAGAGAGAGAGAGAGTCCTCATAAGACTGATTGGGATTGTTTCATTCGCTCATCAGACTGGATTCACCACCAGCTTTGAAGCGGAGGAGACTTACCGCCATGGACTTCGAATCAGCTGAGGTAATTCCTTTAACTCACTTACCTTATTTTCTCTGTTCAATATCGTATGATTCTGATAGTTTCAAAAGATGGGTCGATCTGGGTTTTAATTATATTGGGTTTAATTTCAATTACATGTGTTGGGTTTGTTGTCTTGGTCTTTAATCTTTCTGGATACTGCTTGATTATTGTTATGGTTGTGGTGCCGCTATTGTTTCTTAATCAATTTGACTAGTTTTTGATTTTTGTTGCTCATAAAATATCAATAACGGGTAATAACCCGTGCCTAAAGCACTTTACAACTTAAAAAAACCTCTTTAATTTGAAATATTTTTTTTATTTGTTTTTATGAAAGAAATTGAAATCAATCTAACCCCTACTATTTTTTCAGCAAAATTTCATTTGAAAATAAGAATTTGGAAAATTTTCAATCTATCTACATTGCTAATATATCTCGTTGTATATATCACTGTCAAACACAAATTATTGCATTATCCAACACAAACCACCGCACTCACTCAAAAAAAAATTACTTAACCTAACTCAAAAACATCCTCATATTTTAATCACTACCCAATCTAAACCAAAATAACATATCTTAATAACAAAGCTTAGGTAATTTGAAATGCAACTAACATAAAACTATAAATATTTGTTCTATAGCACTAAACATGATATTAAAGAGCTTAGAGTTAGTAAACAAAAAACACAATTTAACTTACGACAACAAAAATTCTTAAAAAAATATTCACCCATGTATCCATATACCCAAATCTATATCAAAATCAACCCATGAACACACAACCACCAAAAGAATATATGTTGGTCTATATATTTGATCGCATGAATCAACTATTCATTTCATGCGGAGAAAGATAGAAAAATTTACCAACTTGACTTTGGGCTCACATCGAATATTTCAACTTTTCATCTTCGTAGCCCAAACCAACAAAAACAACCACACCACACCCAAATCCTAAATCCCAAACATTATGCATTCCTTAGTTCAACAAAATTCAAGCCCCCAAACCTATTAGTAAAACAAAAACCGCGGCATTGGTGATTGAGTCAATTCATTGTCATGCAAACAACCATCAAAGTAAGAAGCAAATGTACAAAGTCACAACAACAAATATTCAGGAAACTGCTCAATATGAACACACAGAGCTAAAGAAAGGAAGAGTGAGTAAGTACCTAAAGAGCTCGATGTGGTCTATGAACTTGTGAATTATCAAAAGTTACCATTAACTTGCTTAAGGCATCTGACATAGTTTTTCAATCACAAAATATTAATCACAATAAGCCACCCAACAAAATTCCAACATACAAATCTCAATCAATTACCACACAATTTCAATCATAATAACCCTACAAATCTTATTTCATGGATATAACACACAACATTCAATCAAAAACACTAAAAACTATATTGCAATCCTATGTAATGAAAAACCCGATTAACACCCAAATTAAACACTGCCCTTGTCCACATACAATATGGCTTACTCCATAACATTGCAAGTCAAGCTTCAGAATGTGAAGGAAAATTATGTCATCAAGAACCGGAATCATACATCACCAACACTTCTCTATACAAAGCAATTAGAAAAAGGAATGAATTAAACGGTCATTTCCAATTATAGAAACAAAAATGAAAACACACTAATCTCCGAACACTACCGGGTTCGTGTTCACCCCATAATGAGCTACTATCAAAGAATACTAAAAAATCAATTCTTTTTTTTTTGCAAATTACATGAATTAAAACCAAAAAGACAAAAACCTTTACATTAGAAGTACACCCATAGTATTTCTCCGCGGCAAAGACTTTTAATCAAATTACCAAGTTCCAAGCGAATTGGGTGTGATGTAAAGAGAAAGAGCTTATAATATTTCTCTCAAGAATTTCAGCAAATAATTAATCTGCAAAAAATTGTGGTTGTGCTGGTGTGTTTGAGGTGGATGTGTGAGTGTGATTATGTGCAGGGGTGTGCGATGTGTGTGCTGAACAATGGGCAGATGTACTCTTTGTGTGCTTGTAGTGAGTGTGCTCTGTCTCTCCTTAGCAATGGACTCCTACTTTCAGGCACTGTGTAACCAACCCAACAAAAGTTCAAAATCGAGTTGTGTGTTTAGATATCTAACTGAGTTGTGTGTTATTACCAGAAAAATATCAGTAGAAAAAATAGTTTAGATATACCATCAGCTAAGGTTTGGGGTTTTAGGAATTGGAGATAGGTCCTTACCACTGAGAGAGATACTTGATCGTTGGTAGAACTAGGAAGCATCGCCATTGTTGTCGCTACTAGGAGGCGGTGGTTTCCTTCGACTGATATAGGGGTGGGAGAACAAAGAGAAGGGTGAGAGGGAAGGAGGTAAAGGAGCAAAGAGAGGGTGAGAGATATGAAAGAGATTGGGGCAGNAAAGAGAAGGGTGAGAGGGAAGGAGGTAAAGGAGCAAAGAGAGGGTGAGAGATATGAGAGAGTTTGGGGCAGAGACGTTGGGTATGCGGGGGAGTAGTTGAGAGAAGACTCGTGAGAGAAGGACCAGAGTGATTTCAACCTTTCGATCAATTTTAGAGCATTAGGATTTGGGTTTGGATGTGACATATTTGAGGGGAAAAATTTTGTGAAAATGATTTTAGACCATTGGATCAAAATTTTTAAACAAATCTGAACCGTTCTTGTGCTTTTCCAACTTAAAGATTCAAATTGGGTTCTATCTTATTAGTATAGATGACTTTCTTCTTTTGAGTTTTCGAATTAATTCTATTGATTAGACTGCTTTGGGAAATATTTCAGAGTGAGTATGAAATTTGTTACCCTGTTTAAGTTTTCTTTGTGGTTCTATAACTGTCTCATCACATATGGAAGTGATTCTCAACGGAGTTTGTTATTTGGATTTATGAACAACATCAAGTTGTCTTTTTTCGTAGATCCATTCATCGAATGCCATGTGCTCCTAAATATTAAAAAATACAAGAAATTATAAAAAGAGGATAGGAAGTTAGTTCATTTAATGATTCACTTTTAAATTTTCTTATTTTTTTTGCTTTTAAGGCTTATACATCTTCTTAGACCTGGGTGTGTATCCAAGTTGGTAAGAGTCCCTTAGCATGGTTCCGATCCCCTCCCCCTTGCCCTTTAGTGTGAACCATTGTTGAAATAATGTCGGACATGGGCATAGGATCAACTATGAATTTATCATGGTGTATCATATTCATGGTTGCACGCCACTTAACCAATAAGTCAAGAGATTCTCCATAGTTTGTAGTGAACTATTGAAGATCGTTGATAACTTTATTGGCATTGAAAGAGTCTTAACCATTGAGTATTGAACGCTCTGGGGTTTGTTGGAACAAGTAAAGTTACCTCACGTACTGAAATTTATTGCAAATGATTTGTGATTATCATGAGTCATAGCATCTAGTGTTTGTTTGTGTTTTGCTTTCATTGTGGAAGGTTTAAGTCCATCATACTTTAGCACTGCAACTGAGTGATTGTTAGCATAATGATTGGATCTTCCCTTATTAGACTTATTGGTTTGGTGTCTTAAGTCGCTATAGGTCCATCTCATACCAAAGTCAAAGTAGTGTATAATATTACCATATATGTATATGTTTATATTTATATAATTTCATTATAGGTTGAACTTTGTTACTTACCAAAAAAATTACTTCTTGTTTTTTAATCAACTATGCTACAATTTAAGTTCAACTTTACTTGGCTGCTGGTATGATGTTGTGCAATCATGTCAAATTTCCTTGGGTGATGCAGGCAAAGCTTGCGGCTGCAAAAGAAAAGTTTGGACGTGAAATCCGTGTGTTTGAGACATTAACAGGCTCTCCAACATCTGATGTTTCCAACAGTGGTGTGTACAGCTTAAACCATATGACGTGCTTTTTAATAACTTCTACTTGTTGAGTAACATAAGAATTTAAAATGTCATAAGTGGTGTATAATGTCACACTAAAGTGTTTGATTGGCTACATTTTTTCTACTTTTTCTTATTTTATTTGGGGCAGAGGAGCCAGATGACTTATATGACTTCACTGCAGAGGATTATTACCGAATTTTAGCTACTAAAAAAGAAGGTAATATTCTATTATGACCTTGTTTCTGGATTAGTAATGTTCTTTAGTAATAATCTCATTATAAAAAGTAGAAAACGGCCCTTTTTCTTCCCCCTGCTTGTCTAACCCCAAAGTTTAGAGAAAATGAGAATGGGGCTATATATTTGGGAATTGGGACAACTGCTGGATCTTCCGGAATAAATTTTGGTATCACAACCAAAATCTCTTATGGGTAAACATGATTCAACTATTGATCATCTGTGTCCTATCAGTTTGTTGATGTTCAGGTTAAATATGTCACAGTTGCATTAGGGATTCATCATATGCAGAACTTGAATACAATGGTAAATTTAAGACATCATATATTGTTCCTTCTTAAATGACTAGATCTCCTCTGAACCTTTTTATTCTTTATTCTTATTATATTTGATACATGATCATGCGTTCAAAGTTAGAGGTGAATATGGTACATCGTGCAAGCCGTTGTGGAATATATAAATACACATACACACATACACACACACATACATACACGAAATACACAAAAGAGTGTTTATATATTTATGAATGCGGAATACATCCTTAAATGTTATCAACTGGAATCATGAGCAGATAAATTCTTAAAGACACAAAAAATCCGAGAAATGGAAGAGGCTGCTCAAAGGTCAAGAATAACCAAGGTATCAGAACAATCTTTTGAAATGAGGTTTTTGCTAGTTTAGACTTTGTTTTTTCATGGGCAAAATGTTTGACCTTAGTAAATCAGTAAGATTTTGTTTTCCATGTAATCGATACCATAGTTTATTATGTAGGCTGTGATTAGAATACGTTTCCCAGATAATCACACATTGGAGGTTTCATTTCATCCATCGGAGACAATTCAGATTTTAGTTGATCTTCTCATGAAAGTGGTTGCTCAACCAGAACTACCTTTTTTTTTGTGTAAGCATATTTCAAATTGAATCTTTTAGTTTTTTATTCTAATATTTAAGCTTCTAATCACAAGAAGCACTTAAAATAGTGAAGAGCAACTCTGGAGGTTAATACGGAGTCATGTTTCAGATACAACTCCTCCTAAGAAGGAAATTAAAGACACGTCATTGGATTTTTACTCAGCTGGCTTTGTTCCTGGTGCTATAGTGTATTTTTCCTATGATATGCTAAAAGGTTGGTACATTTTTTTATTTTTTTTAAAATTTTTTTTTCTGTTAGAGCTTTCCCACATTGGTATAATAACACATACCAAACTAGTATGAACTTTATCAACGTCTCTTCGCATTGCCAATTGACTTTGAATTGAATGCTTTAACATGATATCGAAGCTAGGCTTGGAGACTTTTTGGGCAAGTTTTTCTATTACAAATTCATTGATTGATTAAGTAATTGGTTTTCAATTGTTATGTCTTGCATTATGTTTTTTATTTCTTTTGTCTAAATATTCATGTGTGAATAAGAATCGCATGTATAGGGAAGTGTTAGAGATTGTCCACAGTGATATAGTTGAAAGTTTTATTGGGTGCAAATAATACTTTCACTCAAGTCAATAAATTAGATTACAAGATGATGGGACTCTTCCATGGATTGATGGGGGATGACACGTGGCCTCGACATGGTGAATGTAGAGCCTCCACGGAGCGACACGTGTCCTTGGCAGAGTGCCCTTGGAACCCCTTGTGACTGACATGTGTCCTCGGCAGACATGACCCCCGAGGTGCTGAGCACTTGACGCGTGTCCTCAGCGTTTAGGTTCCCCCCGGAACACTCTATGTTTGACACGTGTCCTTGACATCTAGGTCCCTTCGGGGCCCCAATCGCTCAACACGTGTCCTCNCGTTCTCTCAATAGTCAAACGCCATAGAATATTCAACTTTTTAGACAAGTTTGAGTTCACCAAGAGAGAGATCTGTTATCGTATTCATTATGCAAGAATCACCGCGCGACAATAATATATATATAGTCCAAGAAAATTAGAGAAACCTTAGACTATCCAAAATTCATGATGCGAGCACAAAGAGCATTGAGAGTTTGTCAAATAAGAATAAAAAATGAGTTGAAGTTTNTGGCATCAAGTCTTTCACGCCAACAAAGTATGAATAGTATTTTGACGGTTATCATGAATTAGGAATAGAGTTGGCTGTCAATGATCGGTTCCCTTTTCCAAGGCGGTCATCTAACCAATGATAAAGTTGTACGAAGTATAAAGCTCTGAAATGTTAGCCCCTTTGGTAGTAATGGACGAAAGTGCCTTTGCGCATGCGCAGCCACAATCAGAGTACATTAAATGACTCTCACAGAAGGATGAGACGTATTTATTGTTCGACAAGGTCAGAAAGGCGAAAATTAAATGCCTGGAGGTCCGAGCATTAAATGCAAAAGCTTCTACCACGTGAAAAGGAGGGCTTACCACCCAAGGATTGAGCACCACCTGTTGCCTTCCAAAAGAGCTAATGAGGAGCCTTCTCTCCAAGGGACCCAACTGTCCGCAATGATTGACTCTAAGAAGGTTTAAATAACAATCTCAAACTCAAGTCTAAGGTATGCAAAGTCTCACCCAAGCAATAGCACAGTATTTTTTCAACCCTTTCTCACATACTGACTTGATCGTCGGAGGGATCACGCCGAAAATACTCCGGCACCTTTCTAACCTTTCTTTTTGAGTGACAAGACTCTGTTCGAAAGCCTACAAGTCAGCAGAACGTTTGTAGGGAGCTATATCACTTTTCATTTCGTTCTCTCAATAANACCACCCAAGGATTGAGCACCACCTGTTGCCTTCCAAAAGAGCTAATGAGGAGCCTTTTCTCCAAGGGACCTAACTGTCCGCAATGATTGACTCTAAGAAGGTTTAAATAACAATCTCAAACTCAAGTCTAAGGTATGCAAAATCTCACCCAAGCAATAGCACAGTATTTTTTCAACCCTTTCTCACATACTGACTTGATCGTCGGAGGGATCACGCCGAAAAATACTCCGGCACCTTTCTAACCTTTCTTTTTGAGTGACAAGACTCTGTTCGAAAGCCTACAAGTGAGCAGATCGTTTGTAGGGAGCTATATCACCTTTCATTTCGTTCTCTCAATAGCCAGACGCGGTAGAATGTTCAACTTTCCAGACAAGTTCGAGTTCACAATGGAAGAAATATGTCATCTTATTCATTGTGCAAGAATCACCTCACACACAAGAATATATATATATAGTCCAAAAAAATTAGAAAAATTCTAGACTACCCAAATCTCATGATGCGAGCCCAGAGAGCATTGAAAGTTTGTCAAATAAAAATAAAAAATAAGTTGAAGTTTGGTACTTGGAGAAATAATCTTCTAGTTGTAGTGAAGGAAATACAAATAACAAAGTTATTTCGTTCGAGTTCGAAAGCCTACAAGTGAGCAGATCGTTTGTAAGGAGCTCTATCTCCGTTCATTTCGTTCTCTCAATAGTCAAACGCTATAGAATATTCAACTTTTTAGACAAGTTTGAGTTTACCAAGAGAGAGATCTGTTATCGTATTCATTATGCAAGAATCACCGCGCGACAAGAATATATATATAGTCCAAGAAAATTAGAGAAACCTTAGACTATCCAAAATTCATGATGCGAGCCCAGAGAGCATTGAGAGTTTGTCAAATAAGAATAAAAAATGAGTTGAAGTTTGGTACTTGGAGAAATAATCTGCAAGTTGTAGCGAAGAAAATACAAATAACAAAGTTATTTCATTCGAGTTCAAAAGCCTTCAAGTGAGCAGATCGTTTGTAGGGAGCTCTATCACCATTCATTTCGTTCTCTCAATAGCTAGATACTGTAGAATATTCAACTTTTTAGATAAGTTCAAGTTCACCTGGGAGAAATCTTTTATCTTATTCATTGTGTAAGAATCATCGCACACACAAGAATATATATATAGTCCAAGAAAATTAGAAAAATCCAAGACTACGCAAAACTCGTGATGCGAGCCCAGAGAGTATTGAGAGTTTGTCAAATAAGAATAAAAAATGAGTTGAAGTTTGGTACTTGGAGAAATAATCTGCAAGTTGTAGCGAAGGAAATACAAATAACGAAGTCATAGTGCTCAGCTGAAGAGGTTGACAAACAAAATGACAATTAGTTTTAATATGTTTTGTCTGCCCATAAAATACTGAAGGATAACACTTTTATTGTCATAGTACTGAGGAGTAGGAGAGAACAACACTCATATCAGCTAAAAGCCAACGAAGCCAAACTATCTCCGAAGTGGTGTGTGTCATAGCACGATACTCAGCCTTAATAATAGAACGAGCAATAATTTCTCTTCAATTAAATCAATAAGCTTTTTGATTGATTTAGGGCGCCGCCCTCCTTCTTAGAACCCATTTAGGGGGGCCTCGGCCAGAAGTTGACGACAATAAAAAGTTCTAAAATATGGTGCTGCGTACATATCGTAATATACGAACCACTCAATGAGTAGTACAAGGGGTAGAGACAATTTAACTAACAATATGAATTGTGTATGCAATATCTAGAAGAGTAACAATAAAATAAATCAAACAACCAACCAGTATATGATAAAATGTTGGATCATTTAGAAGAACCCCATCAAAACTTGAGAATTTGTCATTGAACTTGATAGGAGTAGCAACAACCTTATCATATGTTAAGCGGGTGCGTTGAATAAGCTTATTAGCATACTTAGATTGAGATAAAATGTATTATATTTGTAGGAATACTTTTAGAAGGTTTCTATGGGAAACTAAGATTATACCTCCTATATTTATTATGAATGAATGGGTGAAATATTGACACTCAATTTTATACATTTTTTTTCTCTATTTTTGTTCTCTCCTCATATCTTCTTCATTAATATTTATTTCCTTCTACAAGTAAGTGATTTGGACTGCTGCTTTGCAATTCGAGCTATGGATTCCTTGTGAATTTTGAATGAGTCCCTGTTTAGCTCATCTTTATTACAGTATGGGTTTAGTGTTTATTGCTTAACATATTTCATGGTGACAACCAATGCTCAATGGTTTGATTTGTCGATGGCTACGTCTTTGCCAGGTGATGATAGTGCAGCTGCATCAGGACCCTTCCTTCGGGAGGAGGTCATGTCTTTGAAAGGCTTGGAACTCATAGCTGAGCAGGCTGAGCCTGCCCAATCTGCCCCAGAACCTGAAATAGCTAGTACCTCCAGTTCTGTTCAAGAGCGAAAGCCTGCTAACAAAAAGACTGTTAAGCCTAAGTGGTTGAAAATGTGATGGTGTTGACTTCGCAGGTGAGCTACTGTTTCCACTTTAGATAATTTGAAATATGCTGCCATGTTGAGCAATTTATTTGAGTGGTCATTTCTTGAAAGTTGAAACTATATGGCGCAGGAGGAAGGGTATCTGGGCTGAATATGGGAAAAAGCATTAAGGATATAAAAACATGTCCACATTTTGATGGCAAATCCTTGTCTGTTGTTTAGACTGTTATGGCTTTCAAGTTTTTGAATGAATGAATATGTATATACATGTATCATGCACAGTTCTTTGAAATAGGGCCATAGTTATTTTTTCTGTTAAATTGCTGCAAAATTTCTAACTCATCTTAAATATTGTTGTGATTTGACCTGGAGAACTTGGGTGCTGTTTAAAACCTGAGTTACATATTTGTAGTTCTGTCAGATAGCTGTTCTATTATCTTCTCTTGGTGGCTACATGATTCTATTATCGCCTGGGTAGGTTGGTGGAAATTTCAGTGTTGTAGTCCAGAATCATATATAGTGAAGCAGGGGCAACAATGTTCAAATATTACAGAGCTGCAGCATATTTTTTACACTACAAGTTTTTTGGTGGCTATTTTATATATACTGCTTATGCCCATTTGGATTCCAGGGAACATCACTTGGTTGTGAAGCCTGCAGGCTTCAGGACTCGTGTTTTATCGCTTCTGAAATCTTCTACTACCAGGTTTGATTGAATAGGATAAGGATTATGGTACTTATTTTCTCCTTCATAGACTAACAAGACGGAAGTTCATTGCATTGCATGGGTTCCCGAATTTGAAGAGGCTTGAATAAAAAATTGCACTTGGTAATGGTAACAAAAATGAGTTATAAATTCAGACGTCATAAGTTTAAATTTTGACAATTCCTTAAAATAAAATAATGAGAGATTTATTCTTTATGAATACTCAAGTCTTGACGTGAATAACCTATCTTTGAGACTGGATCGGAGAGAGAATTAGTTAATATGTATGTAAACTGATTCAGATATTTTGACCATTAAACCCAAAAAAATGAAAAGAAAGATGAATATTTTTTCATATTTCATATAAATAAACATGCCCAGGTCTCCCTAGAATTCAAATTGACAATAAAGGCTCAGATTGCAAGCGTAGCATCAAGCTCCTGAATTAGTACTTTTGGTAATGTACTATTTATTCTCTCTCTCTCCCTCTCTCTCTCTCTCTCTCTCTCTATATATATATATATATATATATCACACACACACACACAGATTTAGGTATCCTCAGTTCCACATGTTCTACCGACCACAGGGTACATAGATTTTAATTTTGTTGAGCCCTAGCTTTCATTAATTAATAGTGAGGGTTGTTGAAAGTTATGGAATCCTGAGTGAAATCATAATAATATAATGTTGATAAGAACCAAATATTATAAAATATGTTAAAGAATCTTTTTAGTAAATGCTTTTTTTAATAAAATATTAAATTAAAAGTATTATTTAATATTTTAAGATCAATGTTGATCTATTGTTGTAATAAATTAGAGCCCAAAACATGTTCAAACAACATAATTGGATTCCTAAATTGAGAGACTGGTAATACTTTTTAATTATTTAATTATCACACATGATGTAAAAAAAATTATATTATAATNTTGAATAAGCTTATTAGCATACTTAGATTGAGATAAAATGTATTATATTTGTAGGAATACTTTTAGAAGGTTTCTACGGGAAACTAAGATTATACCTCCTATATTTATTATGAATGAATGGGTGAAATATTGACACTCAATTTTATACTTTTTTTTTCTCTATTTTTGTTCTCTCCTCATATCTTCTTCATTAATATTTATTTCCTTCTACAAGTAAGTGATTTGGACTGCTGCTTTGCAATTCGAGCTATGGATTCCTTGTGAATTTTGAATGAGTCCCTGTTTAGCTCATCTTTATTACAGTATAGGTTTAGTGTTTATTGCTTAACATATTTCATGGTGACAACCAATGCTCAATGGTTTGATTTGTCGATGGCTACGTCTTTGCCAGGTGATGATAGTGCAGCTGCATCAGGACCCTTCCTTCGGGAGGAGGTCATGTCTTTGAAAGGCTTGGAACTCATAGCTGAGCAGGCTGAGCCTGCCCAATCTGCCCCAGAACCTGAAATAGCTAGTACCTCCAGTTCTGTTCAAGAGCGAAAGCCTGCTAACAAAAAGACTGTTAAGCCTAAGTGGTTGAAAATGTAATGGTGTTGACTTCGCAGGTGAGCTACTGTTTCCACTTTAGATAATTTGAAATATGCTGCCATGTTGAGCAATTTATTTGAGTGGTCATTTCTTGAAAGTTGAAACTAAATGGCGCAGGAGGAAGGTATCTGGGCTGAATATGGGAAAAAGCATTAAGGATATAGAAACATGTCCACATTTTGATGGCAAATCCTTGTCTGTTGTTTAGACTGTTATGGCTTTCAAGTTTTTGAATGAATGAATATGTATATACATGTATCATGCACAGTTCTTTGAAATAGGGCCATAGTTATTTTTTCTGTTAAATTGCTGCAAAATTTCTAACTCATCTTAAATATTGTTGTGATTTGACCTGGAGAACTTGGGTGCTGTTTAAAACCTGAGTTACATATTTGTAGTTCTGTCAGATAGCTGTTCTATTATCTTCTCTTGGTGGCTACATGATTCTATTATCGCCTGGGTAGGTTGGTGGAAATTTCAGTGTTGTAGTCCAGAATCATATATAGTGAAGCAGGGGCAACAATGTTCAAATATTACAGAGCTGCAGCATATTTTTTACACTACAAGTTTTTTGGTGGCTATTTTATATATACTGCTTATGCCCATTTGGATTCCAGGGATAATCACTTGGTTGTGAAGCCTGCAGGCTTCAGGACTCGTGTTTTATCGCTTCTGAAATCTTCTACTACCAGGTTTGATTGAATAGGATAAGGATTATGGTACTTATTTTCTCCTTCATAGACTAACAAGACGGAAGTTCATTGCATTGCATGGGTTCCCGAATTTGAAGAGGCTTGAATAAAAAATTGCACTTGGTAATGGTAACAAAAATGAGTTATAAATTCAGACGTCATAAGTTCGAATTTTGAAGGCTCAGATTTCAAGCGTACCATCAAGCTCCTGAATTAGTAATTTTGGTAATGTACTATTTATTCTCTCTCTCTCCCTCTCTCTCTCTCTCTATATATATATATATCACACACACACACAGATTTAGGTATCCTCAGTTCCACATGTTCTACCGACCACAGGGTACATAGATTTTAATTTTGTTGAGCCCTAGCTTTCATTAATTAATAGTGAGGGTTGTTGAAAGTTATGGAATCCTGAGTGAAATCATAATAATATAATGTTGATAAGAACCAAATATTATAAAATATGTTAAAGAATCTTTTTAGTAAATGCTTTTTTTAATAAAATATTAAATTAAAAGTATTATTCAATATTTTAAGATCAATGTTGATCTATTGTTGTAATAAATTAGAGCCCAAAACATGTTCAAACAACATAATTGGATTCCTAAATTGAGAGACTGGTAATACTTTTTAATTATTTAATTATCACACATGATTTAAAAAAAATTATATTATAATACATGTTTCATGTAAATATTGTTCTATCACTCATTTNTATTGTTGTAATAAATTAGAGCCCAAAACATGTTCAAACAACATAATTGGATTCCTAAATTGAGAGACTGGTAATACTTTTTAATTATTTAATTATCACACATGATGTAAAAAAAATTATATTATAATCCATGTTTCATGTAAATACTGTTCCATAACTCATTTAAAAAAAAAATAGCCACTAATTTAAAATTTTTTAAAAACATAGTTTCACCATCCTAACTTTTCATAATTATCTTATCAACTTAATTTTTTTTATAATTTTGTATTTAATTTTTTAAATCGTATGATAGCAATTAAAAATAAAATAAAGGCAAAAGAATGATGAAAAGGAAAGGAGATGTGTTTAAATTTTGTGCATCGCACATACCAAATGATTCATTTACTATAATAAATGTCAAATAAATTTTTAAATAATGACAAAAGGATTAAAAAAATATTCCTTCCGTTCCTAAATATGTGTCGGTTTACACAATTTTTTTATTCTATAATATCTTTCGTTTTATAAAACTTAAGCATAATTAAATTTTTTTTTTTCAAATTTATTCTAATCTCTATTTTTTAATAAATGTTTAATAGATTAAGTGTTTTTCACGTTCTTTTCTTTTTCAATACGTATTAAATAAGGATATTTTAGTCTTATGTAATTATTTTTTATTCATATTATAGATATTTAATAGATTTTTTAATTTTTATACAAAAATCTTAAACGACAGAAATTTAAAAACGGATAAAGTATATCTATTATTANTCATAATTATCTTATCAACTTAATTTTTTTTATAATTTTGTATTTAATTTTTTAAATTGTATGATAGCAATTAAAAAAAAAATAAAGGCAAAAGAATGATGAAAAGGAAAGGAGATGTGTTTAAATTTTGTGCATCGCACATACCAAAAGATTCATTTACTATAATAAATGTCAAATAAATTTTTAAATAATGACAAAAGGATTAAAAAAACATTCCTTCCGTTCCTAAATATGTGTCGGTTTGCACAATTTTTTTATTTTATAATATCTGTCGTTTTATGAAACTTAAACATAATTAAATTTTTTTTTTTCAAATTTATCCTAATCTCTGTTTTTTAATAAATGTTTAATAGATTAAGTGTAGATTAAGTGTTTTTTACGTTCTTTTCTTTTTCAATTCGTATTAAATAAAAGATATTTTAGTCTTGTGTAATTATTTTTTATTTATATTATAGATATTTAATAGATTTTTTAATTTTTATACAAAAATCTTAAACGACAAAAATTTAAAAACGGATAAAGTATATCTATTATTAAAAAGACAATAAATCTCACCTAATAATGTAGCCTCATCGTTCACTTATTTATCACCTACCCAACTACCCCCATATTGCGACAGCCATTGCGTTGGAAATACAATATACGCAAAAGTCGCGCCCGCCGTGACGTCGTGGAATGGAGTAAAAGGGTTGGCGCGTGTTCCCCACGTTTGTGTAGGAAAGTAGGGGTAGTCTTTTATCATTTAAAAATTCAGGCCACGTGGCAGAACTTGAATGGATTGTGATAATCCTTTTCCATACTTTGGAATCGGATTGTGTTTTCTTTGGGATTGCCTCGTGGCTTGTTGAAACTCTATTTTGTACTAACCCTTGTGATTAGGTCCGTTAACCCACCCACCCACCACCCCCCACCCCCCNGCCCGATTTAGATTGGTTTTCTATTGCTCTTAATTCGGAATTTGTCATGCATTTGAATTTTCATTGATCATTATTTTTTTTTGACCAAATCATTGATTATTATTCAATAACATTTGTTCTTCATTCAAAATTTTTATCTAATTTAAATATCTCAACTAGAGTTGCATTTTAACATATTATATGTCAATTGTGAATAAAATCTATCATTTATTCGTATATTTATATCTAGGCATTGGATTGAATCACAATTAGATTGTATATTTATTTATTTATTCACATAATACAATTTTATAGATCTAGATTCAAATAATCTAATATATACATATGTGTGTGTGTGTTATAAGCTTTTTGATATTTTTAATTTATTCTTAAGTATTACTATAAAGTTGATTGTGTCTTTCATATCCTTATTAATGTAATCATTTTAAAAATATTACACATAAATTCTCTAAACTTTGCATGCGCATAATACTTAGACTCTTATCGTTAATGTCAGTTGATATATCTGCTAGTAAATTACACCCAGATCTCTGAAGTTTATAGACGTATAATACTTAAATTTTTAAAGTTTAAAATGTTATACTTAGACTAAAAATACTCAAATTAAAGATAGAATATTAAATATTTTAAATTTTACAACTAAAATTCACGTTCTATTGTATCATTTATTGAAATAAAATTAATAATAAAAATTTAATTTTTTCTTAAAAAATCGTAATTAGTATATAATTACATTATCTATTGAAATAAAATTAAAAAATCAAATAAGGGGTCTAAGTTATTTATAATAGAACATGAATTTTATAACAAAAATTCATATTCTATTATATCATTTATTAAAATAAAATTAAAATTTAATCAACTCTTATTGTTTTAGACTATTGTAACTTGTAATTAGGACTGTTTATCAAATTGAGTTACTCGAGTTTGGCTCGATTTGACTCGTTTAAACTGGATTTGTTTTTTAAAAGAGTCCGAACTTGAATAAGTTCTTAAGCTCGTTTAAAAAACAAGCCTGATAAATTCGGCTTAAACTCGACTTGTTTTTGGCTCGTTTAAGATCAACTTATTTTTTGCATAAATCGAATTTAAATAATTTTTTAAACTTAATTAAGAAATAAATTTTTTAATCTCGGTTCGAATTTGAGCTTGTTTGACTAACAGGCTACTTGTAATCGTTTCACCGGTTTGTCGACTCGTCGTTAGGACTACGGCGGCTAATAACAAATATTAGAAAAACTGGCCAAAACCGGATGTACTTCACACACACACACTCTCTGTCTCTCTCTTTCACTCACTCTCTCACACACACACACAGCTCCAAAAATAAAAATCTCAATCACCAACCAGAGCTAAAAAATTACAAAAACGCCTTTCTAGGTCAAAGATCGTATCGACAACGTAATTTGTTCAATCCCCAACTTGTAGTTTGACTTCAAGCCTTTTGCTCTCTCAATTTTCAGGTTCTCGCAGTCGCCATATTTTCCAATTTTTTTTTTTTGGGATCGGAATCGAAATTTTGATAATATCCGAAAATGATCATCCTCATTGCAAACGAATTCTTGTTTGGATCTGTCAGTTTATCCACTTGTGTAATTTAGCTTCTGTTTGGTGGATCTTCAGAGCTGTTAGTTAAGCTATGTATATGTTTTCTGTGAGAAAAATTCTATTTTCCGAAACTGATTGTTTATAAGGAAATCAACGAAGTTCATTAATTCTATTAATCAGTGGGATTAGGTGAAAGTCCTGATTGATTGATTATTAACTTTGATTTTCATTAAGTTGCGGTTTTCATCTGTGCAGATCAGAAGGTATAAGTGATCATACTCAATTACACAAGTGTGATTGAGTTTGGCTACTAGCGTTTTTTGTGAAAGCTTTAAGATGGCGTCAGCTGGATGGTCCATTGAGAAAAGAGCTCCTCTAAGAAGNGTGAGAAAAATTCTATTTTCCGAAACTGATTGTTTATAAGGAAATCAACGAAGTTCACTAATTCTCTTAATCAGTGGGATTAGGTGAAAGTCCTGATTGATTGATTATTAACTTTGATTTTCATTAACTTGCGGTTTTCATCTGTGCAGATCAGAAGGTATAAGTGATCATACTCAATTACACAAGTGTGATTGAGTTTGGCCACTAGCGTTTTTTGTGAAAGCTTTAAGATGGCGTCAGCGGGATGGTCCATTGAGAAAAGAGCTCCTCTAAGAACTGACACTTTCTCAAGAGACAACGAGAATGTGCCTGAAACTGGGTGTCTCTCTATTGTTGTGCTCGGTGCTTCTGGTGATCTTGCCAAGAAAAAGACTTTCCCGGCTCTCTTCCATCTTTACCGCCAGGTTGATTAGGATCTCCTCGCTGCTTCGTTTTTTATTTTTATTTTTTATGATTAAATGAAATTTTCTTTTACAATTTAATTTCCAAATTAAATGGAGTTATTAGTTTATAAATTGGCGAGTCAGACTAACTAACTAACTAATAGGTGATTTCTCTCTGCCCCCCACAATGTACATATGTCTGTGTTAAAAATCAAGCCAAATCTAATTAATGATACCTTTCATGTGCTATAGAAAATTGATTCTTTGGTTGTGTCTACAAACTCCAAAGAAACTTGCATTGATACGCTAACTAAATTGCCATGGGGCATGCACAGGGATTCTTGAAACCAGATGAAGTTCACATTTTTGGCTATGCAAGGACAAAGATTTCAGATGAGGAGTTGAGAAGTCGCATTCATGGGTGAGATATCATTAGTCTTGGTTTTTACTCCATGGTCCATGCTTTCCCCATTATGGGTTTTCAGCAATTAGGAACAGAATGTTTCATTTGATAAGTATGTCAAACTATAGAGTGTACACATTTACATGTAATGATGTAATGCATACATATCTAATGCGTATATCAGAAAACTTAAGATAGAAAGCTTTTGGATTTCGTTACTTTCAGTTTCTTATGACATTCTTCATTGTTCTGTTATTTTCTATACTTATCATACAAGTTAAACTTGTGCTTTTGCTAATTAATGTGTACTTCAGTGGTCAATGCATCTAGTGGAGGTGTTCATTTTTGCTCTTATTCCCATGAAAAAATCCGTTTTACTATGAGTGCAGTTATCTTACCCCATGCAAGGGTGCTTCAACAGAGCACACGGAAGATGTATTAAAGTTTCTGCAATTGGTTAGTGTAGCAGCCCTCCATTCCTAATATTATTTTATATAACGTTATCTTTTATCTTTCATTTGTAAAGAGTTTATGATTACTCATGCAGATCAAATATGTAAGTGGCTCTTATGATACTGAGGAGGGCTTTAGGTCATTGGACAGTGCAATATCTGAGCATGAAATATCAAAAAACAGCGCAGGAGGATCTTCCCGAAGACTCTTTTATTTTGCTCTGCCTCCATCTGTATATCCTTCTGTCAGCAAAATGATCAAGAATTGTTGCATGAATAAATGTATGAGTATCTGTTCCAGATTTGTTTTTTAATTGTTGATATCTGACATTCAAATATGTTGGGGCTTTGTTTCAATCAGATACTTATCCAGTAAAGGTGTAATGTGTGTATGCATGTGTCTGTGTGTGTTTGGCGCTCAACAAAATGTAATTTGGTTGCCTATGTTGAAAATCTTTATAACCTCACTGAGTTCTTGAAGTGGAATGCTGTTCTACTATTCAATGAGTGTAGTTACCTATTATCTTGATGCGTACACTTTTTCATGTGGAATACATGATATTTTGTTACAAACGCCTATTTTAATCTAATTACGTGGCAGGATATGTTACATTCATATAATCTTATCTGCATATGAACAGGGCCGTTGGTATAAATTTAACGCTCTCCAATAGTTGCACTGTAGGCTTTGATTCTCCCTGATCATGTTAAAAAATGTTTCGTCCTTGTTATATAGAACGCATAATTTAGAAATCCCATGCCATTTTTTTTTTATGTGACATATTGAGCTCTTGTTCCTCCTACCTGATAAATGTTATATGTGCTGTAAAATGGCTCTTGGTCAGATTTATCATGCATTATGGCATCTTATGATCCCAAATAAAGGCAGACTGGTCCTTTCTGTACCACTTGATTTAGAACATCTTAGGTATAGATCTTTACGAATATTTTGATGTAATGCTTCTCAGCTGATCGCGGTGGATGGACTCGGATTGTTGTTGAGAAGCCTTTTGGCAAGGATCTGGCTTCAGCTGAAGAACTTAGTTCCCAGATTGGAGAGTTATTTGATGAACCGCAAATCTACCGTATTGATCATTATTTGGGGAAGGAATTGGTGCAGAACATGGTAATACATGCTTGTTTTGTTAAACATGTTTTTACATAATTTTTTAATTGCTGCTCATGTCTGTCTTCATGCCATTAAAAACTTTGCAGTTGGTGCTTCGTTTTGCAAATCGCTTCTTTTTGCCCCTTTGGAATCGTGACAACATTGCTAATGTACAGGTGAGCATCTTTCTTCTGGTTGCCATTCTATGTTTTTTCCTTGCTTTACTAAATTTGTTCAGATTGGTGAGTCAGTGAAAGGTATTACATTTATTAACATTCAATGTCATCCAGATGGTGGCTGCAGATGACATGCTGTGGTGTTTGCCACTTTTTTACGTGTGCTAAAAGTTTATGTCTACACTGATTATCAGAATATATCACAGTGGAATATAGCTTCCTGTTTTTGTTTTGGTGATGGATGGGGGTGTAGCTGTTAGTATTTTAGGTGTCCTGATTATTGAGCTCCATGAGTCTTATTGGACTATGTACCATTACAATGATATTAGTTTTTTGGCTTCCTTTGGAGTAACTGCAATTATTATAGTAGCCACTAATTGTGCAAAGTTATTTTTCCCTTTGGGATTATAAACATATCAGCAGTGGCCATGCTCAAACTATGTTGTTAACTCATCTACACCAATCTCTAGTTGTCTGCTTGTATATCTTTTTAAGCTTCGAAGTTTTTATGCCTTTTACAATTATGTTAACTACCGAATATCACCTTACTCAATTTCAGCTGATTATTCTTTTATGTCTTGTCCTTTTTTATTTTTCTCGCAGATTGTGTTTAGAGAAGATTTTGGAACAGAAGGTCGCGGTGGCTATTTTGATGAATATGGGTATGTGCTATGGAAGTTTACAATTCTTTTTGTGTTACTGTTTATTAGTAATTTTGTACATAGAAATTACATTCTGCCGAGTGCTTTTGATCTTTGTTTTCAACGTTATCCTTTTATGCTGCCATTATGGAAGAAATGTAGTCCTAAATGAAAAGGCATGCTGGAGAATGCATTTTGTCTTGCCTGAGTTTTGAATGAAACTTGCAGTAAATAACATATTTATTTCATTTTTGGGGGCAGGATCATCCGTGATATTATGCAAAACCATCTATTGCAGGTGAGAGGATTTATTAAGTTATAAAATCATGTATAAATGACAGTCATATGCACTTCAATCATTTACACTTATGAATATTAGTAGTGCAATTTTAGTTTCTATGGGGATCCTCTTTTCCTTTGCGATTCAGATGTCAGATTATTGTACATTTACATGTACTTGTGTCTTTGGATTGATCAACGTTTGGTGACGGAATTCGAATCCTGACATCCACTCCTCAATCTAACCTTTACCTGTAGGCCAAGGCACCGGTTACATGTACTAGTGTCTTGAACAGTGGTTTTTGTATATTCCTTTAATGTTGAACGCCGATTGGATTTGGCAATTTTGTGTTTTTGATTCTTGGATTAGAAATCTTTACGATGGCTGGCTATTAAATTCTGGGATATTAATCTACTGTCTAAATGAGGTTTCATTGGTTACAGAAAAGATAGAAAAATGGTTTTCATTCAGTAACAAGTGTGATGTCCATTTCCACTTTTCTTGTATGAGAAAAAAATCATTTGTATTGGTCTAAACCAATATTTGAGTGGGCCATGTGTAAACAAATCTACCTCTGTGAAAGTTCTCATTATCACATGAGATTGAGATTATAAACATGGTTCTAGTTGGGTTTGAAAGAGCAATTTTGCTCATCAAAAGACTAATGCTTGAGAGAGAAATGTCTAATTTATGGGAATTGATAGTCATTTTGAGTTGAATTATATAGCCTGATTTCCCCTTAGTTCTCCATTGTAATTTATCTGCATAACACATTTCTACTAACTGCAGGTTCTTTGCCTAGTTGCTATGGAGAAGCCTGTTTCTCTTAAGCCTGAGCACATCCGAGATGAGAAAGTGAAGGTGTGTATCTGATTGCTTTCTAGAAGAAATTGTTTGTGGAGTGGTTCCTTTTGTGTCCCAGAGATGCCTTTTTCCAGTTCAACTTCAGAATCTTGGCTTTGAATTCAGGTTCTTCAATCAGTTGTTCCAATTAAAGATGAGGAGGTTGTTCTCGGACAATATGTAGGCTATACTGATGACTCGACCGTTCCTGACAACTCAAGTACTCCCACTTTTGCTACTGTGATTCTGCGATTACATAATGAAAGATGGGAAGGTCTGATTTAAGAGCACGACACATACATCAAAATTTTACTTTGCACAGTTGAAATGCATCTGTTAGCATTAGATATCAGGGAAGCTATTTTACTTCGCTATTTGCATAACCATGCAGGTGTTCCCTTCATTCTCAAGGCAGGGAAAGCATTAAATTCAAGAAAGGCAGAAATACGGGTTCAGTTTAAGGATGTTCCTGGAGATATATTCAGATGTATGTGTGGTGCTCTTATGTTACAAAGTTCAATTTGTTCTTCATCTTCTCTGGTCTTGTGTATTGACTTCAGGGCAAACATCAAGCATTGGCATTGTTTTATGAGCAGTGCCAGCTGAGTAGCTTTTGTGAAATCAAGAGTATCTTTGGGATGTGACATTGAAGTGTATAGTTGAAGGGTTTAAACTCTTGTTTCTTGATCTTAATTTTGAACTACGGAATCAATTTGTGTGTGCGTTCAATCTCTTTGCTTGACTTATCTCTAAAGTTGGATCTATATTATGTCACATGATGCACATTTGCAAGGAACCAAAGAAGAATTTCCACTATTTTTAAAGAGTGAATTTAAATTTATAACAGTATAGACTAAGTAGAGGTCAGACTTGAACCAATGGCCAATTCTGGTTTGCCATTGCAGGTACCTGCCACATACCTCTCCAAACTGGGGGTAAGGGTGCCTGCCATATACCTCCTCCAAAACACACTATAAACTTGAGTTTTGTGCGCTGGATATGACCAATAGTATAGACAATGTTTTCCCATTAACAAAGAATAGAAAAAAAGTGTAGTCCTGTCCTCTCGACATGATAGGTACCTGAAACAATCATTTGCATGGCTCAGTAGGATTATTTCTAATTGCTGTATGCCTCCTCCATAATTTTGCCATATACTTCAGCATACATTTTTCATATTCTTTTGAAGCTTTCTGTATATTTTAATCCTTTTTTGCTTGAATAATGTCCTGTAAAACACATGCTATTTGTTTAGGTCAAAAGCAAGGGAGGAATGAATTTGTAATACGCCTGCAACCTCCAGAAGCCATTTACATGAAGCTTACGGTAAATGAGTGATTTTGTTTGTCAGTAGGATTATTTCTAATGTCTTTTCTGTTTTTTTATTTTAGTAATGTCATCATTGGAGTAACTGCTGGATTTGATACTTCCATAATTTTGAGCTATAACCTGTTAATGTTTTCCTGTGTTTTTCTTTTTGAATTGTGATTGAGTATTTGCTGCACCAATCTTTTCAATTTTTAGAGTGTGGATTAAACAATAATCAATTATGTGCTACCTTCCAGGAAAAAAAAATCAATTTAGGTGCTTGGATAAAGAACACTTAATTTTGTTATACATTATGTTTTTTCCTGGTAATCACTGTCAGGAACTGAACAATTCTTGTGATGTTATTTAATGTGTGTGGGTGTACTGGTAGTTACTATATACCAGGAGTTTTGACAAATATCTGAAAAAATATCGCAGATAGAATCAATGGTCTGAAGAATCCCAGAATTGTCTTCTTTTTGCTGACATGCTTAATTTCTTTCATGCAGGTCAAACAGCCCGGGCTGGAGATGTCAACTGTTCAGAGTGAACTGGACTTGTCATATGGGCAACGCTATCAAGGAGTTGTCATTCCAGAGGCTTATGAGCGTCTAATTCTTGACACGTATAATTCCTTCTTGTAGTCATGTGATATTTATTTTCTGTTAGACCCTTTATGCTGCCCTTCTTTTAAGCACTCTAGCCAGATCTATAGGAAGTCCACTGCACTAGCAGGTGGTGGTAGATGCCAAAAATGATTACAACTACAAACGGCAATAACAGTAATGTGACGTAGTTGGGAAAGAAAATTTGTATTCTGTACATAAATCAATGACAGGATTGGTATTTGGTTTACAGAATAAGGGGTGATCAGCAGCATTTTGTTCGGAGAGATGAGTTGAAGGTATACTCAGAATAAATCTGAACACATTTGAACATAGGATGGCATTTCCCCTATTGATGATTTCTATTGTTTTCAATTATCAGGCAGCTTGGGAGATTTTCACACCTCTTCTACACAGGATAGAAGATGGAGAATTCAAGCTCATTCCATACAAGCCAGGAAGCCGAGGTCCAGCAGAAGCAGATGAGTTGTTAGAAAGGGCTGGTTATGTTCAAACACATGGCTATATATGGATCCCTCCCACCTTATAACTGCATAACTTGGACACAAGAATAATGTTCAACTTAAAATATGGCTGCATATTGTTACTGTGATGCATTCTTAATATGTTTCCACCTAAGTTGTACCATGTACCACTATTCTGCCAAGGCATGGCCTTGTATAGTGTGCCAAATTTACTTTAACACTGTAAAACCTTTGATGGTTGTTCGCTGAGAATATGTATCTGGCTTGGTGTGTATCACTATTGGGAAGAAACAAGTTTTTGTTTGAAGCCAATAAAGAGGAAATGCTTGAACATTGACGTGTATCGTTAACATAGCCATCGTAGTTTCTTTCTGTAATGTTGATGATGGTGTTTAGTGATCAGAAGGTAGCAGGATTTCTTTTAAGTTTGATTACCAAAAGCATGGAAAGAGCTGATCCTCTTCTGATGACCCTGTATTTCTTGTTTTGAGCAGTATCAGTCTGCAATTGAATTTTTTTTTTTGTTAAATGGTGATGGAAAGTTTGAGTTCAGGTGATCTGATGCAGATGTTTTATGAATTTTGTAAATAGTTCTTATCAAGTTCTCAATTATGTATAGCAGAGATCAGATAAACGTTTTTGAAGCATATAACATGCCCTCTCTGTATTCTAGGATAGAGAAGTGTATGAGACTTCTATAACTCAAGTCTATGAAAAGGTCAAAAGTACACAATCTTATACTGCATGTGGAAAAGTCTATTTTTGCATCTTGACCCCGTTGTATAGACATTCAAACTTGGCCGTGGTGGTCTTTATTTATCGACATGGGTTCCTCTCCCCCTTCTCCCAAAATCTCGTCTCTGCAGTGGTTCCATGTCGCAGTTTTGCTCATTCCAAAAGTTTTCCTTCCAAAGGTACATTTCATTTCTTTGGTTTTGGTTTGTTTTGGTGCACATTATTTTGTTTTACTCCATTATCGTGTTTAATTACGTGCTGTATCCGTGTTCTCTCGTTTATAGCATTCATTCAACAGTGTGCATTAACTGAAAGCACTCCTCCNTTCTCCCAAAATCTCGTCTCTGCAGTGGTTCCATGTCGCAGTTTTGCTCATTCCAAAGGTACATTTCATTTCTTTGGTTTTGGTTTGTTTTGGTGCACAATATTTTGTTTTCCTCCATTATCGTGTTTAATTACGTGCTGTATCCGTGTTCTCTCGTTTATAGCATTCATTCAACAGTGCATTAACTGAAAGCACTCCTCAAAACTATTATGGTCATCCATCTTGCAATTACCCTTCCCTACCAAAGGGAATGCATAGTGGCAGTACCTTTTCTCTACAGTCAAAACAATGTCCAGGAATACATTGCCTACCATGTGAAAAAGCAGCACCTTTTAAGGTAGTATATCAGAAAAAAAGAACATCACTCATCCTATAAATTAGTTATAGTTTTTTGGAATAGCATCAAATTCCCCACCAGAATGAACTTGACAAATTACTAACTTCAAATCTTTTGCTTTTATTCTGTTTGACTAGGGAATCAGAAGGTTCAAAGGTTTAGATAGAATGATCATGTTTACTGCCAAATATTCTTTCACTTTTAATTTTATTTATTTTTGGTTAATAAAGTAGTCTGCCTAATTAGCGATATCGAACCAATCTCTGTTACCCATACTTGGCTAGAGAATAATCAAATTTTTGTTTTATTGCATTATTTTAGTCAGTTATAAGATAAAAATATTTCAACATGTTTAGAAAACGTTTCGATCCGTTTTAGAAACAAAATAAAAAATTTAAAAATTATTTTTCTATAAAATTGGTTGTAATATACCAAAATATCTTGAAATATCTTGAAACATTTTAAAATAATTGTATAAATGCATTGACCTCGAAATATTTTGAAGTATTAGAATTTTGATTCCATCACTAATTCGTTTTAATCTCCTTTGAAACGGAAACATTTCGGACGCAAAAATTTGATCTTTGGCGGCTAAGACTCCTGAATATCAATTAGAAGTCAAGAGTACGAATCTTTGTTAAGATCTAGAATTCTGTAGTGGAAATTAGGGATCGAATTAGAGATTTGAATAAAAAAGAGGTGTCTAATTCACAAGTCTCCGACTATTGGGATTTTCCGGCCAGATACATAGTTGCGTAACACAGGATGTTTGGAATTTGGAAGGATTATTTGCTAAAAATTGCTTTCCACTTAAACATCCTATAATCATAACATGTATTTATATGGTTGAATAATGTTTGCAGCGTTCCCGAATAGTCATATACATGCATGCATTATTGCTTAAATTTACCTTTATAAAATTCTCCTTCTATTCCCCAAAGGCATCTTTGTTGGAGAAAACAGCCATCCGATGCCTTTGACACGTACTCTAGTAGATAGGCTTCGTCGACACTCTAGCATGGGGTTGGTTAGAGATGGTAGTGGACCGGGTAAAAATGAGTATTCGTCTAAAATCATCTCGCTTGACCGTGGATGGACTATATGTATTGGACGATGGATGTATACGATAACCGGAATATTTCTTAGAAAACTCCCTTTAAATTAATACTTTTGAAACATTTTCATCCAAACTATTCTAATTAAAAAAAAAGGTTAATTACAATGGAGATCCTCAAAATATGAAATTTATCTCATTTTTGTTCATAATATTTTAATTGTATCATTTTGGTCTTTGAAATATTGAATATGTTTTTCTATGGTTCTCAAGCAGACAACATCTAAATTACTAACGATTTTTTATCATAAATTTGTCACATGATGCTTAAATATGGATAAAAAAATAATTTGAATAACTTTTAATCAAATTTTTACTTAAATTTTGGCTAAATAGCTACCAAAAGTACATAGATTTGATAATGAGATATCCCAATTTTGGCCAAAAATTACACATATTACACATTTTATATTAAGAACTACCAAAATTTTGTTTAAGAGTTATCAAAATTATTTTTGTCATATTTAGATATTACATGATAAGTTTATAATAAAAAATCGTTAATAATTTGAACGCTGTCTGCTTGAGAAACCATATAAAAACATATTCAATACTTCATTGACAAAAAATGATACAATTGAAATATTGGGGACAAAAATGAGACAAGTTATATTTTGGAGATCTCTAGTGCAATTAAGCCTAAAATAAAAAAAACTTTTGTTGGAAATTATTTATGAAGTTTTTAGGTATCAACGACAACCCTCCTCTCTTCTTTGTTTCTCATCACTTTTTTAGATTCCATTCTACTGTTTTTCTTCTTCCTTACCTACCTGTCTAAGTGATTGTTTACTCGACGCCCACCCAAAGTACCACTGCTACCACATAACTAGTAAAAATAAAGATTGTATTTTCGCGTATAAGATTTTTATTTATAACAATATTTTGAGAGAGATAAATGATAAATAATTATATTTATATTTTAAAAATATGGATTTTTGAACTCGAACGGGTAACACATCTAGGCCCGTATCATTGCTCTAGACTTGATCTCTATGTAACTCAACAAGTACTAATAACATTAGCTCGATCCCATTAATCTCATAGATTATACAAATAAATCAACAGCCAATTCCTTGGGAGCAGCATGGGGACCAATCTACTGGTTGCGTAGCGCCTAAACTATTCAATAGTGTGGACATAAATATTACTTTAACATAGAAAAATGGTTTAATGATGCAATTATTGGCAATAGTAATCAAATATTTTTGCCAAATATCTTCTGAAAGTGACCAGGCAGGTGAATGCAATATTTTTAACAAGCTGCTTTATTATTTTAATATTTCATCAGTGGAACACTGAGTTTTTTTTTTTTTTTACACGATGATCGGATTTGTGTCAATTACTTTCTCAAATTTGAATATTGGCCATTATAGTCTGATCGAGTTCAGAACATATCCCATGAAAGACAAGGGTGATTGACCCTTAAGCGTATGATAGATATTAAACCAAAAACTTATAAGTTACCAAAAAACAAATTTACTACCGAAATATACATAAGAATTGATAATTCAATCATTGAGATCATTTGTATGGGAGAAGAAGATGTTATAAAATTAAAAGTACATAAATCTGGTAGGGTGGTCTAGTGGTGGTACTGACCTTACTCCTCACTTAGAGGTCGGGAGTTTGAGTCTTAGAATTCCCATTAAGGCTCAATGATTGGTCACTATGCTAACCTAATTAAGTTTGATCCCGATAAGTGTTTCAAGCGCGGTTAGGAGTCTTATGATCCCACCAATGAGGCCTAACGGGTTAGTCGCTGGGCACTATTTCTTGCCCTTACCCCTGTTTTTTATTTAGTCAAAAAAAAGAAGAAGTTAAAAGCACATGTATCTATATCTCTGCATGTATAATATCTTCAAACTATTATATATGTGAAAACTATAGTCCAAATTTCTAAGTAGAATAACCAAATCAAAATTAAATAATAAGGTCATTACCTTTAATAAACTTGCTCTAACAAGGCTTGTGAAGTCTGGGTATGTTTTTAAGTAAAAATTGTTTTCCTAATCATTAAACTATTGCTCTCAAACTAATGGCAAATAATTTTTTTCTATATTTTAAATTTTTATTATAAAGTTAATGATACTCATATATTAGTTTTCTCTAATTTGTATTTTCTATACCTATTTGATTTCTAATTTTTGAACTCTTTTATTAATAATATTTAACTTATAAATTCTATATTATTTCCATTTAATTTTGATTTCCTATATTTACTCAACTTCTAAGTTCTTTTAGACTATTTTATTAATTATATTTGATTTTTAAATTTATATGAACTCATTTATCAATAATGCACTTGTATACAATTTTTTACATCTATGTCTATATATTTATATAAATAAAGTCAAATCTATATTCTATCATCCAATATATGTTACAATTGACTTTTTAGTACACAACAATATTATATTATTTCAATACAAACAATAGTATTATAATTTAATTAATTTATTTGACAAAAAATATAATAAATTTACAATATAATTAAATGTACAAATACTTAATAATAATAATCTTATAATAAAAATTTATTAAAAATAAAAGAGAACATATCTAAAGATTCGGAGAGACATTTAAATAAATAATATATTAGATAGTCAAAGAGGGGCACCATAGTCATTTTGGCTTAGTAGTTCCTACTCTTCGTAAGACAGGAAATGAGTGGGAAAAATACTTAAATAAATTACAGATTAAATAGTCGCGGAGGGGCACTATAGTCATTTTGACTTGATAGTTCTTACTATACGGAAGATAAAGGCTCGAAATGAGTCCAAAGGCTCGAAATGATCTCTGAATGAATAACAGATAGTCAAAGAGGGTCACCATAGTCATTTTGGCTCGGTAGTTCCTACTCTACGTAGGACACCGACTGAGTCTCGTCTCGCGCCACATCTTTTGCACTACCAAACACCAAAAATATACCTCCTCCTCCTCCTCCTCCCGCTCTCTCTCTTTTATCTTCTTTCTGACCACGCGGCTTCCTTCCTCCTCTCTTTCTCACCCCCATTCTCTCTCTACTATATTTAGCGATTAGGCTGTTTATTTTGAATATTAGAGTGGTATAAAAAAATGGTATTAAAAAAATAGTATGTGAGATTTATCTTATACGTTATTTGTTTGATATTTTATAATCAGTAATATTTTTCGGGTCATAATACCGATCTGTTATAAATAATAGGTATAATGTCTTATAGAAGGCCTTAATAAATATCACCTAAGGGTGATATTATATTCTTGGTATAGGTATTATAAACTAAAAGAATTGAAATACTCTCCGATACAATTATCATATTAAAGTCTAGTCACAATTTTTGATTTTTTAAAGGTTAAAATTATCTTTTATATTAATTAGTCGTAATTGTTGATTTTTTAAAGTAGGTATTACACAGATAATATTTGTGATAAATAAAAAAAAAAAAGATGAGATTTATAATTTAACATCGAATAAAATATATTATTAAATTAAAATAAAATAAATATAAAATCTGATGCAACTTACATTTTATACTAAACATACATGCCTAAAAAATATACCTCCTCCTCCTCCTCCCGCTCTATCTCTTTTGTCTTCTTTCTCGACACGCGGCTTCCTTCCTCCTCTCTTTCTCACCCCCATTCTCTCTCTACTGTATTTAGCGATTTCAGTTTGACGTCTCCTTCTATATTTGGATTTTACTTTTACACATATACATGACCGAGAGTATATGTATATGCATATGCATCACTGTATTATACATGTATCCTTGTCTGTTTATACTTCTGCTCTGGGTCAAAGATTAGATTCTTTATCGTCTCTTTTTCTATTTCTGTTCAAAATCGGATTTGAGTGTTGTTTTTCCACTCTCTATCTCGTTTGCTTTCTGGTTGCTCTTATATATATATATATATATTGCCTTAGACCTAGGGTTTCTATACATTCTATTCTTGATTGAATCAGTTCTTATTCTCTAATCGTTCTTGAATTTTTTTTTGGCTTAAACTTTTCTTGTTTGTTATATATACCCCGATAGATGTAGTTTTTATTGCAAGCTTTGTAAGTTTGTGTCTTGTTTGAGCCCCAGATTATTGTTTCCCTCGGGTTTTTTTTTTTTTTTTTTCACACGGGAACCTCTGAGATTTTGGTGCTTTGTTTTAGTTTGCGATCGAGAATTGGGGGTTTCTCGTAGGACTTCATCCTGTTTTGGTTCTTGAATACATCTGTAAGTCCACACCACGATTCCTAGTTTTAGGGTTTGTTTTCTTTTGTGCTCATTAGGTGGTTGGAGACACAATGCCATTGAATTTTTCGCATCTTTCATACAGATAAGAGTCTGTCTTCTGTGAAAAACATGGGTAATGGGTACCTAATGGAGGGGTACCCAGATAAGAATTTGGATAGTTTTAGTGATTATTTGGATTTTTTGTGGGAATCTGAGAAGCTCTCTGATGATATTGTTGATTTATTGCCCTCTAATCCTTTTGATATGGATATGACTGCTACATTGACAGCGATCACGGGTTGGTTTGAAGATCTTGAGATGGATTTTGGATCGAAGGCCCTTGGGTTTGGGAATGATGAAAACGAGATCAAGAAAGGGGAACTGAATATGGTTTGGAATGGTGTCATGTTTTATCCAGAGTTGGGTGGCCTGACGACAGATGGAGAATTAATTGGGTCATCAATGGATGACGAACCACGGGATGAGTTGTATGGTGGTTCTTCTTCACTGGATAGCAACATTATGGGTATTTGCTATGACAAACACTGGATTTCCAGCGCTGCTACAAAACAACATCAAGGGTCCACAACAGATAGTGATGGAGGTGCTCCCCATGATGCTTTGTTTTTTGTTCTTGGCTATCTGGGTGTGAGGGACCTTCTGTCTGTTGAAAGAGTTTGCAAATCTTTGCTTGATGCAGTGCGAACCGATCCTCTTATATGGAGAAGTATTCACATAGATCATCCTTTAAGTTATAGGATCACTGATGATGCTCTTTCACTACTAACTAGCAGATCTCAAGGCAAACTTCAGTGCTTGAGTCTCTTGAAGTGCTTCAATATTACTGACAGTGGCTTAAAGTGTGTGCTGGAAAGCAATCCAGGGCTTACGAAGGTCAGTATTCTTTGTCAATTAATCAATATTGATCTTTCTATTGCTCCTTATTGGGTTGTTTTACTATATTATCTTTTCGGATTTTTCAAGGTGCAATGTGGGTAGTTACTGAAGCCGTTAGCATAATTGGTGATCAGTCCATAGACCATCATATGACATCCTAACTAATTCCTTTCCATAGCATTTAAATTACATTTTCCTGGTTATTCTTAACATTTGTGTGAATGGAGTGGTTTCCAGATTCCCACTTATGTAATCTTTTTTAGTTGTATTAATTTGGTGATTATGGTGTATTTGCTGTTATATAGCAAGTTGTTTTATGAGATATTATGGAAGGACTCAATCAAACTACCCCCTCCCCACAAATGGAAGCAACAAAAAGCAGAGACCCCACCCCAAAAAAAGGGATTTTTTTTTTTTTTGGGGGGGGGGGGGGGGGGGAGGGTATGGCTTAGTTGCAATTGGATCCTAGTTTCTATTGGTGATGTCATGTATGTCAGGGTTTGATGTCTCATTACCATTTACAATGACCTGAGTCGAATTGATAATCGAGAAAACAAGTGTCTTGCAGCTCATGCAATTCCTTTCTGTTTTCTCTAATGCATGCTAATATTGGTTGCGGTTGTGTCTATTGAAGAGTGCTGAGTGATATTATACATGTCTTTTCTGGTGAAAATTTTGGTTAGATGAAATTTACATCCATTTGTACTTGTGTTTGTAAAGTTTTTTGATAATCTTCTCTCTTTCCATGCAGCTAAGCGTGCCAGGATGTGTGAAGCTCACTGTTGAAGGTATTCTTTGCAACTTAAAAGAGGTTCTCAATTTTTCCGTCACACCTGGAATAAAGCGCCTAAGAATTGGTGGGATTTTTGGCGTGACGAACAAGCATCTTGAGGAGTTCAAGTTTTTGTTAGGGGCAGACAACCACAAGCAGCTCAGTGCCCACAAACCACGGTTTCACTGTGCCAGGCAGTTGTATCTCTCAGTTGATGATGATCGTGCAATTGATATTGAAACATGTCCTAAATGCCAGAAACTCGGACAGGTGTATGATTGCCCGTTGGAAAGTTGCCAAGTGACACATCATGGCACACAGTTGTGCAGGGCTTGCACTCTTTGCATCGCACGTTGTATCAGTTGTGGGCGTTGCCTTAAAGGATGTGAATATGAGGAGACATTATTTTTAGATTTGATTTGTTTTGATTGTCGTAAGCAGCTTCTAAATTGCCAGGAGATGCAGGAGGAAATGAGGACTCCCCATCAGCAGCAGGCAAGTTACCATTTTTGTCTCTATGTCTAGGAGTAGGAGAGATTAATGCTTAATATGCGTCGTCCTGGCTTCGGGGTCTGCATCATTGGCAGCAGTCCAAGTATCTGATACCAAGCTGCCTTGAAGATTTTGATAAGGAGGTGGATGAAAGAAAAACAGCAGCATAACAGACTGCCACCTAGAGAGAGAGTTGTTGGGACTGAAAAGATAGACAAGGGAGGAATGTTGAAAATTCCGATTTTGAAAGATATGAAGGTATTCCGATTAGTGTTTAGCTAAAAACGGATGGATTGCTGCTGGTTAGAAGTAGTATATTCTGATATTTTTATCATCTGTTTCTTTTATGGTTGTAACCACTTCAATATTTACACAATAAATAATAATCTGTGTATGTAGTACTTTAAATTCTTATCGCCTTTTATGATTTACATGGAACTTCTTCTCATAAATAATAATCTGGTTTTTAGGGAAGATTATGAATTCAAATCTTAGCAACTCCTTGGAATTAGGTTATGAGGGATATATTCTAGTAAATACCTTAGTTCTAGCGTGAATGACTTTCTTTTGACCAGACTCAAGTTAGTGCATGTGAGCGTAAAGTGTCTCAAACACTGTTAATCATTGAACCAAAAAAAAAAAAAGTCTGATGTGTTAGGACAGTTTTTGTGGGCGTGGCCCTGCGTGTAGGGATGACAGTGGACCGGGAAAAAATGGGTATTTGTCCAAATTTGTCCCGTTTGGACCAGAGATGGACTATACATATTGGATGGTTATATATATATACTCACAAGCCGTAACTAAACATATTTATTGTAACTACTAATCTAAAAATATGGTAATCAAACTAACAAGTGATATTGCTATGTGGTAATCTTATCAATTTTTTTCTTGATTATTTTTTTTTCTATTTGTGTTCATTGATTGAAACTGTTAGGAGTTTGAATTGACCATGCTCTAAAAACAGATAAGAGAGAGTAAGATAGTTTTGTATTTTATTGTGGATAGAAATATTGTGAATGGAGGTTGATAAGTTTCTCTGCTAGAGTGAACTAAGAAATTGGGAGAATTATTGAATTAGCGATATTTTAAGTTTTCATCTTTTAACACTTTATGACTGTAATATGCACTGTTATCAGAACTGGACCGGTTCAACCATGAATCGGGACCCTAACCGGTCTGGTTCCTTAATTGAACCGTTTAAGGAAGCGAACCGGTTAAAAACCGGAAAATCGGCCGGTTTTTAACAAAAATCGATTTTTAAAAATTAAATTACATAAATAAATTTTTTTGTCCTAAATCAATAAATAGTTAATTTTTTTTAACCTTATTCTTAGAAAAATTATAAATGACTCCCCTTATTTTTTTTTATAATTTACTTGAACCTCTTTACTTTACTTTAAAATACAATAACCCCCACTTTGTTACTTAATTTTATTAATTTTATGGCAAATTTTATGTATTTTATACATATTTTATATTTTTTAGCTAAATTATTAAGTTTTATAATTATTATATATTTTTTTTTATTTTTTTATTATATGACCGGTCCGACCAGTTGATCCAACGGTTGAACCAGTAAACCATTGACCCGGTCCCTTTGCCGGTTCGATGACCGGTCCGGTTCTGATAACATTGATAATATGAATTGTAATAATAAAAATTTTTCTAGGAAACTTCAAGTGTAGTGCTATCGTTTTTTTAGTTCAATTTTATTTTTCTTTTCTTCATTTCTCTATAATAGTTTCGTTTTTCTTTTTGCGGTCTAACGACACTTTAAACAGAATACTATATTGTTTTGACTTTTACATTATGTAATCTAGATTATTCACTAGATTATTAGAAAGTTGTTGAATTATTTAAAATTTTAGATTTATTTAGAATTTCGAATTATGCTACTTGGGCTTGATCTTAAGTGGGTATGGGGAAGTGGGGACGGGGACGGGGATGGGGATTAAAAATTTATCCGTGGACAGGGATGAGAATGAGGATGAAAATTATAGTCGTTAACGGGGTGGACCGGGGATGGACAGAGTTTTTTTAAGTGGGTACGGGGATGAAGACTACACTCTCCGCCCCCGCTTCGGTCCACTGACATCTCTTTCTGCGTGGTATAAGATATGACCTGACCCTAATGCCATCTGGTGACAATATTAAACCCGACCCTGAATCAACCAAAATCCATCTGGTTTAGAGTTATAAAGGTACTTACCCTTTGAATATCAATTGGAGCCTGTTTACCGTATCCCACAAACTTGATAATCCGAAAGGTTTTATAACATGAACCCACCAACCCAACCTGACCCTTGCTTGACGCCCTGACCCGATTAGGGCTCGCTCTTATCAGATCCATTGCCAATGGCAAGATTAAGGTAGGTTTTTTTTGGGGGGTAAATTACACATTATTCCCTTAAATTATTACTTTTGTTTCACTTTACACTCTTAATTATTTCACCTAGTTTGGTTTATATCACTAAAAACAATATCTGGAAACAATTTTTAAGAAGAGTTTTAATAAAGTGTTTTTTTATATTTTTATATTATAAAACCTTTTTGGTTGGAAGATTTTGAAAATAATTTTAAATAATAAAAAATAGTAAAACATGTTTAAACAATGATCCATAAAACCAATTTTTTAATTTATCACTTCTGACAAAAAAAAACTAGTTAGGCAGTTATATCTATAGCGGAGATGCTCCATTATCTCTTTCTTTATCTCTGTCTCTCTCTCCCCATTATATTCAAATCTTCTCACACAACAACTCTCAATCTCTCCATTACCTTCTCACACAAACAACTCTCCATTATCTTCTCACCCAACAAAAACAAACACACCCGCCCACCCACACAAAATCCACACATTGACATACACACACACACACATATCTGTGTATATATATAAATTTGAATACATATTTGTATATATACACATATTTGTTGAGCAGAAAGAGAGAGAAGAGATGAGTTCTCCCGCACACAGACACACACATATCACCATGTGAAACTGGATTAGAGAGAGGTAAAGTTGCAAAAGAGAGAGAGACAACGGTGGAGAGATGAATAACTAGCTACCATTTTTTGTCTCTAACAAAACTTGAAATGGAGACTTCATTAATTTGGAGATGCTTTTGTTTTCAATGTTTTCCTTTTTCTTCAAAAAACACTTAGAACAACATTTTGTTGTTTTGTAGAATCACATCTCAATTTTCAAAAAATTAGAGAACAAAAAAATTAACAAAATAGTATCTTTGTTATTTTTAGAATTTTGAGAACAAAAAATTATTTTGAAGATACAAACCAAATAGCCCTTTTAATTTTTCACATTGTACCTTAAAATATTAATTTTATTTCATATTACTCTAATAGATAACAATTGTTAATTTTTTTTTATAGTAAATGTGCATCTAATTGGTTTATATTGCTAATAAACAACTGTTTATTACGCATGTACATGTAAAAAATTTAAAAAAATATCTATCCATGGTTTTGGCTTTCTTAAGTTTCAAATTTTATTCCGTTAATTGACCTTTTTTTTACTTTTTAAAAATCGTTTGGTTGTAAAAGAAGTAAAATAAAATGGCATTAGGTACTTAACGGGAAGTTCTTTGGAATTTTCCTCCCTTATTTGACAAAATTTTAAGTTTATCATTATTTATTGGAGTGATATAAAATAAAATTGATACTTTACGGCATAATATGAAAAATTTTATAGTTGAGGTACAAAATAAAATAAGAGTAATAATTTAGGAGGGTAAAGTGTAATGTACTCTTTTTCCACGCCGTTCCTTGTACAAACAGCCGGAGCTCCTTTCCTTCGTTTGAAAACTTGAAAACTAAAGTAAAAATGGAAAACGGTGAAATCCCTGAAAACGCCAATGAACGTAAGTATATATCTAATCTATGAATATTTGATCGTTTTTCAATTGTTTTCACTTCTCCATCTTGTTTTGAATTCCTTTTGGACTGGTTTTTGTTTTTCAGATTGCCCAGGGCCTCAATCGGAATCTGCTGGAAATTCTGATGCCTGCGATGGTTGCCCTAATCAACAAGTTTGTGCTTCTGTGGCTCTGCTCCTAAAGGCCCCGACCCTGGTATTCTCTCTCTCTCTCTATATATCTGTATAATAAAATAAGAGTATGTTTGAATTTTATCCGAATCATATTTTTTTCTTCAAAATCATCGTCAATTACTTATTTCACTCATCGTCCTTTTGTCAGACTCAAACATCGAATCACATCATTTATTTATATTATATATTTAATCATTTATATATTTTTTCCATGATGATATCTATTTTTTAAATATTTAAATTTTATATTTTATCGTGCATATAGACACAAGTTACTACTACGATAAATATATTTCTCAACTGTGATTTCAAAAGTGTCTCGAAGGATGCTTTTTTGTGAAATAGTTGTTGCCTCTTAGTGTATCTGTCATTGGCCTTAGTACCGTTCTGTTAGTTTCGTAATTACTTTATTCTGATCGTTGGGAAGCGTACACGGTCAGTTTATCTCCCTTCTTGTGACGGGAAAAATGTTTACTTTTTCTTTGAATGGAAAACAGAAGGGAATTCCTCCAGGAAATGATGAAAGTCTGAGCATGTATAATTGTTTCTGGAGAACACCAAACCTCTTGAAAGTAAGACTATTATTAAATTAAATGCTTTTTTTTTTGGATATTAGGGAAACATGTGATTTGGTTGAACAATATGTTTGCAGGAGACGTATTGTAACCAACTCAACCTACAAAGTTGATGCCCTAATCAAGAGATTGCCCTGCCTCTTGGAGAAGAGGAAATTGTTAAGTTGGTCCACCAAAGTTGAAACCCAATCTCTTCCAGTTCGGAGCATAAAGCCCTTTCTTGTCCTTACAAGAATCTCCAGAACCATATATTCCATTAATCCCATTTTCCCAGTAGTCTTGTCCATGTTTTCAGCCTTTCCCACCCTGGTTTGGGAAAAAGTTATCTCTTTCTAGAGATTTAGCAGCTCTTGTGGTCTTTATTGGGTTATGCGATTTCTCTCTTAAAATTTGCAGAATTCTGCAAATGGTGCCTCACAAGAACGGGGGTAGTGGACAATCTACCCCCCCCCCCCCCCCCCCCCCCCCCCCC